ACAAACAGATTAACATTTAAATTTTTACATATTTAAAAAATATGGAAATAAATTTTATTCCAAGCTTCGTTCGATATAATATTTTTTCGACCACCTAGCAGTTGAACATAACAAACCTAACCAATTTATTTATAAATATAAAACACTTTCTCGTTCAACTTGATATTAACCCTTTGCACCCGGCGATCTTTTCGTCACAGAAACATAGTAATTCGAAGACTTTCTGCTATAAAGTCGACGATATTTTCAAAACGGTAAATAAGACGTATAAATTAATCGTAAGACGTATTTTACCTCGACGTTCCACGCGTCGTTGGACAATTTTAAATTCGAGATATTAATTAACAACGATTTCTAAAACTTGATTAAACGGCGACCGAGAGACTCCCTTCAGTCACCATTTGATAAAATTTTGGACACTGATATTAATTAACCCTTTGCACTCGACGATTTTTTGGTTAGAGAAGAGTAGAAAATCAAAGATTCTCCATTAAAACCTGGCGATTCTTTTTTCAGCAATAAATAAAGAATTTTATAATAATGGAATTGTAGAATTATTTGATTTCGATACCTTGCACACTGTTACATTACATTAAATTTGATATATTAATTAATATCGATCTTCCAAATTTTATGAATTGGTGACTATGGGTCACCTCTCGAGTGCAAAGGGTTAACATGTGAAATTTAAGATAATGTAACAATGTGAGAGGTATCGAAATCAAATAATTCTAGGTCTTAATTATTACAGGTTTTTTATTTACTGCTCAGAGAAATATCGTCGACTTTATAGCAGAAAATCTTTGGACGTCTATCCTTCTTTAGCCAAAAAATCGTCGAGTGCAAAGGGTTAATCTATCCCATATGCATATCACTCGTCGACTCTGAAAGGAACAATCCCCGCGCGCAAGTAGGCAAGATAAATTCGGCAATAGAGGAAAGAAGCACAGGACAAATTGACTGGTTGACCAAGAGGGATGTTGCAGCGACAGACATCCGCTGAGAGGTGAATTCAATTAATTAAGAAAAGTGGCACGATTAATTGGCGAGGAGTATAGAGCACGGTAGGTTTGTCGGAGAACAGTCTCAGATTAAGTCCTCTCGTGCTTTTTCTGGTTCCTGAAGACTGGTAGGAGACGGTGAGAGAAAACGAAATGTAAAAGAAAAACGAAGGAGAGAAAGAGAGAGAGAGGCAAAGGCAGTAGGGAGAAAGAGGGACTTTACGAGGCAGTTCGGGGACATTCTTGATTTCGATGTTGGGAAGGCACCCGACGAGAACCACTTGAATTTAACGAGGCTCCAGCAAATGGGCCACCCTGCAGACTTGCCTCCTTCCTTTTCTCTACGTATGATGCTTATACCCATTCTCGTGTGGCCCGCAAACAAAGAAGCCAGAAAAACTCATAATCGTGACATCATATTTTATACCGCCAAGCGTCTATCAATTAAAGGAACCCCGGCTCATAACGGGAGCAGAAATTTATTGGTTTTCGCTGTTGGGAAATCCAGCTGTATCGCAGCTGGGAATATTGTGGGAAATTTTATTCGGGTAATTATATCGGGCAACGTTAGATTATTTTCGGGTATCAGATGAAAGTACGCGAGATAATTTTCCTGCTCTTTTTTCAAATTAATTTAAATTCCTCGTTGGGTCGTGTCGATATTTACTACTGACTTTATCGTCGATTAATACGGGGGTTTTCTACTCTTTCTCATGATTTCACGGTTTTATTAGCGGTTGTCGCGTTTTTGAAATTACTACTGAATTCGTTGCTTTATACCTTCTTTTTCCATCGTTTCAAATTTTTGCCGAAAAATCTCGCGTTTTCGAAATTAAATTTCATTTTTATCTGGATTATGCTCGTATTTACTATTCATTTTATTGAGCTCCAGTAATAAAATTTACACTTTTTCTTATAAATAAATTAAAGTTTCTACTTAAATTCGTATTAATGATTTTAAAACAATTTGAAATTACAAATTTTATATTATTTTTGTCTACTCGAAATTTTTATTATCAGTGCTCGTGTTTTCAAAATTAAATTAAATTCTTATCTGCATTATGCCCGTATTTACTATTGATTTTATTAAATTTCAGTAATAAAATTTACGCTTTTCCTTACGAGGAAGTTAAAGTTCCTATTTAAATTCGTATTAATAACTTTAAACCAATTTGAAATGACAAATTTTATATTTTTTTCGACTACTCGAAATTTTTATTATCAATGCTCGTGTTTTCAAAATTAAATTGAATTCTTATTTGACTTATATATGTTTATATTAATTCTAACTTCGTTAACTGTAAATAAAATTTATACTTTCCTTATTTAAAATTTGTATTAATTTATTTTTAGTTATATAATTAATTTTTATCAACATACGTATACGTGTATTCTTTTTCTAAATTGTGATTACTATAAGTGAGAAGAAAATTAGGATATGCTGGAGAACTATTGACCATACAATCCCTCAACAATAAAAGAAAATCTCGTCAAATACTTACCGAATTGTTATCGATATAAAACGCATAAAAAATAATAAAAAAAGAAAAATTAAATAGATCTTTCCCAGTTTAAAAAATTCGTTTCTGAAAAAAGTTAGTAACCGCCAAATAGAAAAATTCATCCTTTCCTTTTCCTTCCTGTCACCTGTAATAAAATTTTTGTCAGCAGTCAGCAAATAGTAATAAACTTGGTTCATATCCATTTCTTCCACGATATCGTGTATCTTCACCAAATCCTTAGAAATCAAACAGTGTCTGAAGTCGAAAACACACATCAAGTAAACAATGTGAAACATCGACAAGCTTCCAACAACAGTACTCAGCCCAGCTCGCACGTAACCGCGAAAAATTCCTGCCAACAGCCGAACATCCATTCAAATGCTGCCAAAGTGACTCATAATAAAATAATCCCGTTAGAAGCACGATATTCGCGTCATGGTCGTCTCAGAGGCACTCGGCTCTCCCGAATGGTAAGCTCGAAAGCGACGGTCGTGCACCTGTAAGCCAGCCCTTTTTCCCTTTGGTTATCCGGAACAAAGGACGCCTACTTCTCGGTCGGCAGAATTTCGTAATAGCTGGTGCGAAAGAAAAAGGGAGACACGCCGGTTGCAGCGAGCATAGCGCAACGTGCACGGTTCGGGGTCGAGGCACGACAGGACCCGCTAAGTGGCAAAGTACACACCGGTCGGTCTGTGCCTCCTTCATTAGCACCAACTAGCCTCGGCGGCAGGCTTAGCCAACCTTTTCTTCCTTTCTCAGTGCCGAAGAGTGCCTGGAAGAGGGTCCCTGAGCATCGATGTAGGTACAACTCGCGCTATAAACCTCGACGAGATCTCTTCTCGGAAATATGCCAGCTCGCATACCGAACGCACAAAACGGTTTGCCTCCTCTGTATCCTGCGGTTTGTCCCCGATAACTGATGACCCTGGCTCATTTTATAAACTCCAATGCTTTTCCTCTGGTTACCCCGTTTGCCCCTTGAATGTCTCACCGCACCTCCGAGGTGAGCGTGAGGTACACGCTCTTCAATGGGGCTTGGAAAATTCACGAACGTCGACGAACTATGACTTGCTTCGCGTGAACTTACAGCCGAGACTGCGTTTGTATCGTTTGGTAGATTTATTTTTTGTTATCTCGTGATTTTTGAAGAATTCTGGAAACTTGGAAGATAGATGCGTTACGTTGACCTTGTCAGTAGTGTTGCCGACGAATGTAACAGTGTATGGCTTCGAATAGATGATCAAAGGAGTTTAACAGATCGAGTTCTCATTATCTGGGGAGTTTTAGATAACTTTAGAACTTTAAGAGATTGTAAGATAGATAATTATGTTGTATTAACTAGGTTAATAATAGTAGATAGGTTTGAAAAAGTGAGTTATATCGCTTGGGAGGTCGGATGTTTGCTGTCTGGTGACTTTCTAGTGACTCTAGGGACTTGTAAGACAATAATATTGTACATAACTGGATCAGACTAATTGTAAAACTAGTAATGTCTAAGTTAAAGAAGATTCTGTATGTCACATATGCATTATTAGAAGGTTAATATTTGGATGTCTAGTAACTTTTTAATAACTCTAGGAACTTGCTGGACAACAGTATTGTACATAACTGGATCAGACTAATTGTAAAACTAGTAATGTCTAAGTTAAAGAAGATTCTGTATGTCACATATGGATGATATGGATTGGTAGATTAATATTTTGGTGCCTAGTGACTTCTTAGTAACTCTAGGAACTTGCAAAGTAACAGTATTGTATACAACTGGATCAGACTAATTATATGACTAATAATGCCTAGGTTAAAGAAGATTCTGTATATCATATATGGATGATATGGATTGGTAGATTAATATTTTGATGCCTAGTGACTTCTTAGTAACTCTAGGAACTTGCAAAATAACAGTATTGTATACAACTGGATCAGACTAATTATAAGACTAATAATGCCTAGGTTGAAGAGGATTCTGTTCGTCACATATGGATGATATGGATTGATAGATTAATATTTTGATGCCTAGTGACTTTTTAGTAACTCTAGGAACTTGGCAAACTGACAATTATGTTACTTTTCATTCGATTTTGTCGAAAGAATTGTTACCAAAATTAACCGTGCCTAAATTTAGAAAGATGATTCGTATCACTCGACAAATCAACGTTTCGTCGTCTATTCACCTCTAAATAACTCTAGTAACTTTCAAACCGTGTAATCATATTACCCGTAATTTAACTTTGTCGACATAATTTGGCAAGTGTAACTATATTTAACAAGACGATTCGCATCGTTTGACAGATCGATATTTGATCGATGTTTGATCGACGTTTAGCGATTTCTAGGGAATTCTAGAAACTTTGGAAACCGACAATTGCGTTACGCATAACTCGCTCTGTCGGTAAAGTAGTTTATCGAGTTACGAGTTCCCGAATCACGGGCGATATTTACGAACGCCGTGATATATATTCAGTCGGATAATTGGATACTTTTGCATTCGATGTTACAGAAAAACTTACGACTCAGTCCGAGGACTTCAGTGGGAAGTTGTACATCTTCGCGGAGAAGAGCCAGCGATACATTTGCTTCAACAAGCGATGGAAACTCGTCGGCCTGGTAATTACTTGCCTACCAATTAGTAAACATATTTCATCATCGCGAGTGAGCTGGTAAATTTATACTCATCGGTAAATGCACCGGATTGTACAGTTCGGACATTTATATTCATCGCTCATATTATCGCTTTACCAGCGGCTACCTAGAAACGGTCTTCGCTAAAAGTGCAATTTGCAAGTGAAGATATTAAATCTCTAATGCGTTTCTGGTAGATGCCTGCGAAACGGAACGTTCCTAGAATTCTAACAGAATTATCCCTGACGAAACGACATATTGGCTGACGCGCGCGATAAATCAGCCATAAGCTAATCTGCAGCTAATAACGAGAGATGGATTACTCTGTTCGCAGCTTAAGAAGCAAAAGGGTCCTATGTGTCAGTTCTACGAGGATTACAGCGGCCCGTATCTGACATACAAAAGCGTGGTAGATAATACGCGGTATCTGGCCTTCAACAAGTTTGGCAAGCCGATGAAGAATCGTGGTCGACAGGAGTGCTTCAATTTCATCAAGTACAATCCTCACGCCGACATAAACCACCACAACAGCCTGGTGAACGCGGACATGGGCGGGATGGATCCACGGAGTCCCTACGTCGTGTCGAGGAAACCGTCGCCGGTGATGAGGGCCACGAAGAACTCCCTGTTGCAGGCCGACAGTACGAGGGAGATCGTTCATACGACGCATCGTTATCGGCACTCGAATCGTTGGAAGATGCGCCAAGGCGAGAAGCTGTCCGCGCCGCGAAGACGGCACGAGAGTCGTCTCTTCGTCGAGGCCAACAAGTATTGAGCCGCGCACTGGCTCGCCGATCAAGACTGCCTCATCTACACCTGTGAGAACCTGAGATCAGACTGCCAAATACGCTGGTGGAACGTACGGTCGAGATGTCAGGAACCCACTACGCGGCACCACGTGAAACGCGGCTCGAAGCACGCGCCTCGATTGATCGCAACGAACAAAGCTGGCTCGCCTCGTGTCTCCTGCCCGCTTGCGTACACACTTCCGACCAACTGCACTACGCTAAACACAGCAGGCAACAACGAAAATTGCTCGCAGAACGAGCGTACCAAGTTGCAGGAAGACAGTCTTGTTGGGTAGAGCTTTCGTTATGCGTCGTTAAATTCCATTTCACACTTGCCCCGACTGAATCCTTTCAGGCAAGTATGCACGATATCATAATTTCCCCTTTTCGTTCCATCGCTAAATTTTTGATACGATTAGTTGGCGGTCTAGGTCACAACGGCCATGTTTCTTTCATTTTCACCGATTATCGATCGTTCTCGTTGTCTCGTTTAATAACCCGTGGGTTCCGCGTGCTGAAACTAGGAGTGGTAGGCAAGGTTCCGTGAGAACGCGAATTCGGTTGGATCGAAGTGCAGGATCAGTCGATCGTTTAGCGATGGAAGAATATGTTGCGCGCGATCGGCCTAAATCGTTGCGCAATCGGACAGCTACCGTGCTTCAAGCGCTGTCACAGACCGCAATAGATACGCGGAGAGATGCACCATCAGCGCACGTCCATGCAAGTATTTCCCTCGGATAGAACCTCCAACTCGAAGCGAATCCGGTGACCCAGCCGATGACCCAGTCGTTCGATCGGTAATTCGAAAATAAGCAAGGTGACTCGCGTCGATCGGTCCTGACGTGTTTCCCTCGATACCGATGATCATCGTCGTCATCAGGATCGAACGTGCTACCACCGTGTTCGCGCTTTCGTAACCGTCACCGATGCAATTTCGCCAGGAAGGAGATATTTCCTGGATAGAGGGCGCTGACTACGTGTAACTCTCTGGCGTGCTCGCGCAGTAGAGCTCACGCTGCGCAAGACTCTCTCGCTCGCTGTGCTAATTACGCCGCCTAATGTAGCGTGCGTGCGTGCATGCGTGCCTGCCTGCCTGCGTGTATGAATAATGTGTGCGTGCGTGCATGCGTGCGTGCGTGCTCGCGACGTACACGCAGTTCTCACCGTCGCGTTGATGTCAAAGCTCGCGATGCGGTCCGTTTTCGAATCGCTACTTTTTATCAACGGCTGCTCCATTCACTTGACACGACTTTTCTTTTTCCCCTACCTCCCCCTCCGCCTCCTTCTCCATCCTCCGTTCCTTTTCCCGTCTTTTCCTTCTTTTCTACTTTTATCTCTTAATCGATCTTATTTATACGAAACGAATACACGTGCGTGAAAGTCGACTACTCCGAAACGCACACGCATACACACACACTCTGACAGACTTCTTTCCACAGAGAATCGGTATACACAATTCCGGGTGAGCAAAGACGAGTATAAGTGTATATATTTTTCTTAAACCTATTCAGAAACAGTTACTAGACACGGTCAAATGATAACGGGATCTCTGAGTATTTTATACGACACGTATTCGGAATACGATCGTCGTTCGACCTCCGCCATCACGGCCCGGCCGAAACGGCGTAATTCGCAACACAGAAATATATTTTCTGATATAGGAATGAGAGTGAGATAGTATTGAGAGTATCGGCTTAAACTGCGTGTTCGTGTACGAGCTTAAGTATTTGTGTGCATTTTTTGCGTGCGTACGTATATATGCCTCTGGACGCGTGTGATTGCGTGTAATATATTATATGATCGTTAATGAAGTTAATCCTTAGGACGCTATCGCAGACTGTATTACTAGGTTAGGTACACGAATATATGACGCGGTGGCGACTCGACGAAAAGAATCAGAGGTTAGGTTCCACGGCCTCGCGGGGATCCGTTCGCGTAGCTTTACCTCCCGTGCGTCCACCTATCGGCCACACGCCGCGTTCGACGTACGAAAACAGCCGAATGGAGCCATCCCTGATTCGTTCGTTTTCGCAGACTCGCCACGTAAGGAGCGCCTGCCCCTTTCTCCCAAAAAGAACTCGCTCCCTAGGTAGCTTATTTATTGAAATCATGTTTAGATACTACGAAAACCAAACCGCCCGAGAACACCTTTTCCTCATATATGTACGGAAATGTGCGCTGCTCTCTTTTATTTTACGTTATACCAATTCATGTCCTTTTTCATTACCGCTCATGAATTTTCGTACGTATTATAGTCACTTTTTCATTAATCTATTTTTTCTTTTCTACTTGTCTTTTTTCCTTTTTTTTCTCTTTTTTTTTTTGTCAACAGAACGCGAACATTTCGAGGTAAATTAATCGAAAGCATCCGATTCGTTGTTTCAAATTTTTGTATCCTTTCTCTCTGGCATTTCGAATTCCAGGCATTCGAGAATGAAATCTTTATTTCCCTTTGCCAGAGATAATATTCCTGTTCATATTCGCGATACTTTGAACGATCGTAGTCATTTTCATATCGTTGTACTTATTCCCCACTCACCCTCTACCCTTATGTTATCAGTCTTAAATCCAAAAATACTCAATACCTGATTAGTTAATTTCGTTTTCGTACGAGTGGCAGTGCGTAGAGGCCCTATTTCCACCCCCGAACGGTGTTTGTACGTGTCGCTAAGAAAAAAAGAAAAAAAAGTAGACAGCAAATTGTTCGTAGAAGTGCCACGCTCCGTTCGATGAATCCAAGATGTAATCGTAAATAAACACGTAAAATTATTTTATCATCTGCCTTCTCTCTGACACCCCTCTAATTTCGAACAGGCTGGTCGTACACTCGTTTTCTAACCTACAACCTCGAAACCCGCAATAGACACGATAAATTCCTGGAAAAATAAAAAGTACGCTGAAAACACTGTTTTCAGGTCACGCGAGTTTCATCCATCGGTGCGTGGCGCGCGCCAGCTAAGTACGATAAAATTTCGCGCGCGAAAGAGAAATAGAAAAAAAAAAAAACGCCAGCAGTTTGACCGTTAAGGAAGAAAGAAAAAAAAAAGCAAATATTGTATCGTAACATGGTATTGTAACTCCAGCTCTAAAGGACGAACTTACTCGTTTTGCATGTGTAAGCGTAGCGTCACGTGACACCGCGTCGAGAATCGCGGCGACGACGTTTGGCGCGATAGAAACAGGGCTACAAGGACAGTGGTAGGGGTGACCCCCCACTCCGCGGACCGGCGCGTCGAGTGACGTGCGCCGCGAGGATGCGCGCGGCGATTCCCGACGAGGCGTATACATCTCCTCGCGATCATCAGTTTGCTCGATGTCAAGTCACTTGGCGTTTAGTTTTTTATATTACACTTAGAGACCTCACATTTTTTCTACCATCATAACGGATATCGATATTCCAAAGCGGCACGAGTATATCTATAGTTGCGTTTAGCGTTTTACGTAGAGATTTTTTAAAAGGCACGTAGCGTCTCTGATAACGCGGAAATAGCAGAACAGAAACATTCGTCGGAACTACCAGTCGCGGACGCGTGCCTTGACCTCGAGCACCGAGCAACCATCCAGTCCCCCTGTGTTGTTTTTTTTTTCTTTTTTTTTTTTACTTTCTCACAATCGACAAACGAGAACGGCAAGAGGAAAGAAGATGAAACGAATGAAACGCAAGAGATGAATCTGACTACCCTATAGATAGATAGTATATATTATTGAATAAAGAAAAAAGGTAAAGTATATATATATATATATAAATATATATATATGGAAGATGATGTGTATTGTAAGATATTTAATACCGACTTGTCTTAAGCACACCACGATGATCGATTGCGATGAAACGATGATAATAATTATTACGATGATTGTTGTATAACGAACGACGACGACGATGATGATGATAATGTTATTCTACATTGTAATTCGCGTTGTAACATAGAGGCCCACCTGTTACCCACTAAATCGATGTGTCGATGTATCCCGGACGTGCTTCGCTCGTACACGCGTCGGAGGGGAAATCGGAAATTGCGTTCCCATAGGCGGCGGACGTTGGACATCGGCCAATAAATGAGAACTCGGATTTTTCTATGAGAACAGACCTTACAGAGGCCATTATCTGGTCGATGTCCAACGACCTCCGTTAACTTCGAGCTAAACGAAATCGTTTCCGAGCGTTTACGATTCTCAGTATTAATCGTATCGAGAATGCTGGTTCCGTTGTAAAGCAGCTCGTTACCACGAGTGCAGCACGCCCGGAGCAACTAGCAATAATATAACATTCCAACTTAAATCGCGTACGTACTGCGAATTCTAATAATGTGTGCCGCCGTACGAGAGAGAAAAAAACACTGTCAAATACACGCTCATACACTGCTACATCTGTCATTTATTTCTCTACCTCCTCGTCCCTGTCGATTATTACGGGGTTACCGCCATATTGCTTGGTCGTAAATCAGTTAGGGATGATTCATTGGTGGTGGGGGGAGTGGGAGGGGGCAGAAACTGGAGGATTCGTTGATACACGTTTTATTGACTCTTCGAGTTTTTTTATTTTTATTTTGACGAGAGAATTTTAAGTAGAAAAATTTATTTGCATATTATGTTTAGTGTAAAATTCGATATTATTTTGTGGAATTATGCGATATTCGCTTATATTGCGATTTAAATTATTAATATTTATTTTATTATCTAATTCCTCTGATATAAGCTATTAATTATGAAGAACTCTCGATGACAGACATTTCAATATTGAATACAAAATGATCGTGTTGTCAATCATTTCGTTCTCAGTCATTTGTAAATATATCATAGTAATCATAATATATGTCTCTAAATAGTATAATTTAGAAGGATTATTTATTTGAACTTATCAAAGCTTGAAACAGGAAAATAAGTAAATGTTGACCAGCATTTGTATTTCTGATTTTTCATTTCTTATTTGAAAAA